TTCAGCACATGTCCCCCAGTTCATACACAGATGAGGGAGAGGCACTGCCTTCCAACCAGTATCCTCAGGGACATCCCACACGTTCTTAGTTTTTTAAAGCCCCATTACTCACAGGGGGTGGGAAGTAGTGGGAGAGTTCCCTGTTCATTTGTTTTAACAAAACTGCAATGGGTTTTCCAGACTGGATCATAACTGTGTCATCATTCCCGTGCCTGCATCACAAGATCACATCTGTTCCTGAGCTGCACTGCAGCAGAGGAATTTATAAAATGGGCCACAGACACTTGATTTTCATCCAGACTGTGCTGGTGGTAGCACCACTCAGCTTCTGAAAGACAGCGGTCAGCAGACACCCCTCGTGACATATCCCAAACTAATATCTGCCACAAAGGGATGAAGTTTTGAGGGAGTGCCATTTTGTCATGTTTCCATATGGACGAGGATTTCTTTGGGCTTCACTGCTGGCAGAGGACAAAATCCTTTTGCTAGCAAGCAAGCTATTCACATTATCGTGACACAAACACAAGACAGAATTCAAATACTTGGATTTTTGCCTGCTTTAGGTAAGGGGAAAGAATTGCTGTCTGAACAGCTTGCTGGTACTGACATAAAGATGCACAGATATTGATGTTTATTGTCTCTGCAATTTTCTATGGTTGCACATGGTGTCATTGCAAACAGGAGGTGTGATTTTCTGGTTAGATGGTTAAATTTGTGTATTGTAATTGCTAGGATAAAATACACTGGCTAGATAGAAATCTTTCTGGTAATGTGCTTTGTGTTCTAATGTACTCCAGCTGCTAAGGACTGGAAAAAATATTTCATATGTGGTCAGTATCCTAAAGGATGTTTGAGATACATTGTTATTTTCCAAATGTAGATGATGCCTATTTTTGTAGAGTCAGGTTAAAACAAATTGTGCTACTTTTTGACCTTTTCCTACATGATACTTCATTTTTGTGTAGTGCATCCCTTCATTCACAGACACATTATCAGATTCCAGGGAATAGCAAGAAAAGGCAATCAGCCATTTCAGTCATGATGAAAGACAGAAAGTTTCTTTCACAGTGATATAGTTTCTTTCACAGTCATATAGTTAATTTATTGTTTCCAGATGGAAATAAAATTCTAGATTATTTTTTTCTAACTGAAAAATGTAATTATACCTAGTAATGCAGAGCACTTCAGAAAAAAAATAAATGTATATAATTATAAAAAAAACAACAGGAAACAGATGCTAAGCTTAAAATGTCGAAACACGGTGAAGTAAAAATATGCATTAGCCCATGATGGCCTTCAAATACTCTTTGGGATATTAACTAATAGTTTTATTCAGTGATGAAATCTGATATTCTACTTGCAGTCTATAGTATGGGAAAATCTGTCAGCATTGACTAAATATGACTGTTAAGTGCAGAGTAGTTGTAATTTAATCAAACCTATCTGGCAAAGAACTTCAGTGTTTTTTTAGTGGTAGGGAGGATGAAAGATGAGACTGCAACAGTCTTACCTTAAAGCTACAGGTTAGAATGTGATATTTCTATCTGAACAGTGCAAAGTTTAGAAGATTGATTTATCCAGATTTCTCATGCAATCATGCAAAGCTTTTGTTTAATTCATTATTATGTTTCCTTCTGAGTGGCTCACTCAGAGTTTCTGGTTATAAAAGGTAAATTTGAGACCACCAGCAGTACTTAGACGTGAATGACAATGAAACAGTGGATCATCAGGTGTTCCTGTCTTGTGTTTGGTTTGTGTTAATAATTTGTGTTGTGCTAAAATTCACAAAATTAATCATTACAATCCTCAAGTACCTGCTGGGAAATCGGTTTATCAGTAGGATCTTTGATTCAAAGCACATGCAGTGCATTTTGTGTAGCTTTAGATACAGAAAGCAAGTAAAGAAAAGGAGTTCACAGTATGAAGAACTGTTTGCAACCTCCTCATCTCTAGGAGGAGCTTTGACTGTCCAGAACATCACTGAAACCCATGACCACAGTAGCCAGGCTGCGTTAGTGTTCCCAGACAGATGTGTGTGTATTGCATGTGAATTGCTGATACACATGACAAGCGATTTACTTGCTAAAGAATGCCATTTCTTTTGATATGGAGTATCTTTCTGAACCAATATGATGCAGTGGAATAGTCAATAATGTTTTTGAGCTTACAGCTTTAGCTTTTACTGTATGCAGGGTTCTGTAGGGATAGTTGAAAAGTTCAGTTAACTGATGCCAGGCATTTTGCATCCCATTGGTACAGAACCAAGGGTAATTACTTCAAATGACAACAGTTGTGTTCTTAATCTTGAAAGTTATCAACAACAGTGATTGCAGAAAACATACGTTTTCTTTCTTTTATGTGGGGAATAAATTTAAGAAGCAATTCTGATTAGTCTTGTTTAACACTGGCTGTTGGACACCATTGGTTTAGTTCCTCTTACAGGAAGTGCAGTCAGAAGCTCCCTCTTGGCCACATCCCCCTGAAAAAGTTCAACTGTGAGACAGCAGGATTCTGCATGCTACTGGCAGACCAGCAGCTAGTGGCTTTAGGGTTGGTTGGGTGCTTTGGTTTTTTTGAATCCTCTGAGCAGGAAAACCCTTCTGAGATTTTAGAATTTGGTTTTCATTCTTCATACTTCACCATAACGTTTTCATTGTTTAAGATGAATATGAGGAATAAAACAAACATTTTATATAACTAGAGAATTTCCACATCCGTGACTTTAAAAATCAAAACTTTGTGGTAAAACAAGGTAAGATTTTTAAAAATCTAATATTTCTATCACAAATAAACAGAGTGAATCTGTTTGGGTTTTTGTTCTATCAGATGATTCTCAACCTTACGAAAGCAGAAATAAAATAACACCTTCATATCTAGAAATTCTAATAAATGATTTATTACTCTCAAAAAGAATTCACAAACTGATCTCATATTAAAAAGTCTGTTATAAAGAAGATGCAAAATTTGAGAGGAGTGGCAAAAAGATGTTTTCCTATGTCTTAGGGCAAGTTATTTTTAAGAACTTGGTAGATTTAGAAGCATGTTGTGAAACATGATTTTCATTGGTGCCTTCTATCATAGATTTGCTTTTGAACACTGAATAAAGTACTTGTGGTCCATAGCTTAATTTTTAGCTCATGTTTTTAGAAACATATTTGATTACTGATAAATAGAAAAGTCACAGATGACTACAAGGATGCTTCATATGAATTACATTCATAAGATATTCTAAAGCTTGAAAAAAGAAGGTTTCCCAATTTTAGGTACTTGTTCTGTAAATTTCATTTTTGAAAATACATTCTAGCTGAACATGTGCAATTATTAAGGGCACAGATAAGTATACTTCAATTTGAATTGGAGACAAAGTCTGTGTGGATGCATGGTGGCCTTTTCTTCAATCTTTTTTCATGAAACCAGCTACCTCCAGCTTCCACTGAGAGCCAGGTTCACTGCACACAGCCTTTCTGTGTATCAAATTGTGTGCAATTCTGTGTATCAAATTGAGTTTACGTACCTGAGATGGAATAGCTGTTGCCTTGAATAATGTAACCACTTCTCTGAGACATTTATGTAATAGGATCTTAGACAGAAACTTTCAAAACTGCTTCCAGAAGTGATTTGATAGCATTTCGGGTTTTGTACACATCTGTTTGTCAGATGAAAAGTGAGTATCAGGAGAGAATTTTTTTGTTCTTGTTCTAAAAATCAGTGTTTTTAAAAGCTGAGTTCCTGCAAGTGAAAAGGCATTAGGATATCTGCCTTCTCTTTGAAAAATCTAGGGCAGCCTTTTAGAAATACAGACAGAAAATCTAGATGCATGACTAATATTGCTGATTAATGGTCTGGAAGAATTTGTAAATAGCTGCATCTTAAAAAGTAAATATGGCAGCAGTATGTGTTGTCAGACAGAGTATCTGTGCCATCAGAGAAAACAAGAGACATGGCCTGAGTGAGCCTGACTGGAGCACACAGAATGTACTGGCAGAAGAGCAGTGCTCAGTCCCAGGCCATTTCCTGTATGCCCACAGCTCAGGGAAGAAGGGAAAACCATATGTGAAGACCTGGCTGTTCATGGAATATAGTGCTTTATCCAGGTTTGCTTATTTGTTGCAGGACAAAGATCAACAAGCAGTATGGTACCATATTGCATGCAGTCTCAATGCTGGTTGGTTTCAACTTTAGAAAAAAATACTTGCAGCTTGACTGTATGTCCTTAATTGGTTAAATAATAAAAATGAGAGAAATCAGACCACCATATTCTATTCCCTGTCTCTCATTCCTTCACCTTGCCAAGCCTCTGCTGGGGAGTTGGTTTGGTTTTCATTAGGAGGTTTGGTTTTGCATTTTGCTATTACATTTACTTTTTTTCCCCTGACCTTTTGCATTTGTACAAAATGTATCACATCCTGTGTCTCGTTCCAAGCTGTTGCTCCAGTTACCCCTGATTAATTCTATTCATATTATAGCCAAACACTTTTAATTTCACTCCTTTTCTCTGAAATAATACAGGTAACATTTCAGACCACTATTGGAGCACATTTGCAATTGATGACGTGTATCTTATTTGGCAACTGGTCAACTTTAGGGATGCTCCAATTATAGACATTCTCATGTTGGTATCTTAGAAGTTACTTCACTCTAACAAGAAAACAACTAACCCTTGGCATCTTCTGAAAACAGCCACTATCTGAAATTACTAGTTTGCATAATACTTTGCCTCTAAAATTTTATTTTAATTGTGTAATCAATACTACATAGGGAATGTGATCCCTATCTCAAAGGAAATTCAATTTCATCACTTTCTTTTTATTTTTTCTTTAAAAAAAAATGCTTTCCAATATTTTCACCTGTCCCTACTGTTCAAAATTGCGCTGCGGCAATTTACTATTGTTTGGGTTTTAGAAGTATTACTACTGATACTTACCCCATATATTATTTTGAGTTTTCTGTATTATTTTCATTATGCTTTTAAAGCTTCTTTTTCTTTTTATAACTCTTAGGAAATGGCCAAGATTCTCAATCATCCAAGAGTATATGCTTTTCTGCACATACCAGTCCAGTCAGCCTCTGACAGTGTGCTCATGGACATGAAAAGAGAATACTGTGTGGCAGACTTCAAACAAGTAGTGGATTTCCTTAAAGAAAAGTAAGTCTACCAATAATTGAGAAAATGACAGTGTTAGGTTTGTTGCAATGTCAAGAACATGTGGCTGAAAACACAATTATTTGCAGCTTCGTAATTAAGGTATGAAAAAAATGAGATTCTTGAAGCTTTCAAAGTCTTTGAGTTTTCTGTAAGCCCCTTGATGTGGTTGGCTCCTATGCTCGAGCTTTTATTAGCATCTTAAATCTCTGCATGACATGCTTTTAATTTGTCAATATTTTCCTAATCTTTTTCAAAAAATGCATTCTTAAATTATTTTTTATACATGAACTGCTATATATGGATTGCTTGAAGCTGGAGTTGCTGAAGCTGTCTTTAATGTGGCTTTTGAGCATTGCACACTTTGTGTACTAGAGATGATCCAGCTCCAGCAAATGTAAATGGCTTGGTTTTGTGTTTGCTTGTTCTAATAAGTATTTTATGTCCTATATTTTATGTAAATTTACATCAGTATAGTAACATTCTAATCTTCCTTAGGGGACTGATGAGTTCTAGATTAATTTCAAATTTTTTTCCCTTAACTACAGAGCTAATTGTGAGAAATGAAAGAATGTATCATTAATGTATTTGCTTATGCTGACACTAAGATGGAAGTTATATCTACCTGCAAAGTTTTTGTAACTACAAGTAATAATTTCATATACAAGGAAATATTTTCTTAGCTTTTAAAAAGTTAATAGTGACATATTTTGCTGGATATTTCTGCACCAATTGCCAAAAAAAGTGTGTCTGGAGAATAATTTCTGACACCTTGAAAGTTTGGCTGCTTTCTCTCTTTCTACTTCCTTTGTATGTTTGTTCAATGACTTAAAACAGTGACATTGTGCCTTTGACTCTTACCTTGTATTAAAATATTGGTACATCAAACCAATCAGACTTTCATAATCAGTTTTTTTTGTGATAATTGAAAAATTGAGAAGTCTTGCTATGTAAAACATGTCATCTAATAGCTGCATGGGAATTATAATATGTAAGAAAGAAAGCCAATTGTGACACAATAGAATCTGTTTTGCAAACTGAATGAGGACATTCCTATGCATCTAGGACAACTGATGGAAATGGGGCTGCTTTTCTTCATACAGGTTGATTTGTATTAATTTTCCACCACAAACAATGCCCATGAATTCTTGGCACTCAATTTCTTGTGACTATGGATCAGTGTTAGTGTTTAATTAACAGATGTATTGTATTCCCACGTAGCTTAAGTGGAACTGTGTCAGTTTATGTCTTAGTTGACTTGAAGTTGATTCATTATTCTCTTCAGTAGTTTTAGCATTGGAAGCTATTATCATAGCAGCAGCTGGATTTTCGATAACCCAGTATAGCTGGCACATGTTGGGGCATATGGGGATTTATTAAATCATTCAGCTCTTGCACACAGCAAAGTATGAATTACTTAATACCCAAATTTAAAACAGCTGGTCACTGAGCATACAGTAATGTATGTCATACGTCTTTTTCCAGGGCTTTTTTTGTAGTGAACTTAACAAGGGAGAAAACTTGTTTGATGTCTTGATTTTAAAGAATAATAAAGTTTCTCTATCCTGCTTATTAAGAAAATACTGAATTATCTAGTAGTTCCTGTTAGAAAACAGTTTCCAGATATTAAGATGGAAAAATCTTTGTACCATATGGCAGCAGGATAAAGAAGCCATGCCAGGTAGAGAAAATGTTTTAGATATTTGAACATGTACTCATCTGTAAAAAGCAAGTTTTTTTCTTTGCCCTTAAGAGCAAAGAGTCTTCGTTTGTGGACTTTACTATTGTGACAGCAGCCAGCTATTACATTCTCATGTAGATATTCCCATAAAGATCTCAGCACAAAATTTACCAGAACTTAACATGGCTGCAGACAAGTCCAGAGCCTAGAGCCAGAATAGCTAAAATTAAATATGTGTTTAAACCACTTGAATAGCTAAAAGGGATTATTTCTATCTCCCATTTATCAAAAAGGTAAAATAAACCAAAAATAGAATCCCCTATATCTCCTTTCCTTATTGCTGGGGCCATAAAATCATCTAGAAGCTTCCTACACAAAATGTGCAAGGACTTATCAGTAGATTCCAAATGTCACGTTTGTCTCTAGAATGTGACATCTGCTCTAAAAATAACTTCACCAAAAGTTCTACGAAAGCAAAAATTATATAGGCTGATCAGGTGAAGAAGTAAAGCCATGCATCAAGGAATGCTAATGGTTATCAATTAAGTGTTTAATAACTTGCATTCAAACATTTAAGCACATAAAATTAAGTCTAGCAAGTAAAAATGAAAGGAAAAAGGAAAAGAAACAGCCATGTCATAATTTTTGGTTTGGAACCCCAAAGAAATATCAGCTGATTTCTGAATCTTTTTCTCAATCAGGCCAACAAAACACTCTGGGACTTTTTTTCTCCAAGAAGAAAAAAAAATTATTTTTCTTCCTCTGGAGAGCCATGAGTGACTGCAGAGGTATCTTCTTCAGAGTGGGGATTTATTTATGTCCTGCCAAGCACAGAACGCCTTATAGAGAGAGTTTCCCAGGAGTACTCCAGACAGAGTACTCTCTATATTCAAACTCTCTTTTTTAAAAAGAATGGAGAATTCTTGAGACTCTATGACTGTGAAGTTAGAAATGTCACATTTTTCCTCTTTTTGAGGACTCTCTGCAGGCATGAGCAATAGAAATGAACTTTAAAAATTAGTATTGATGTTCTAGTACTGGCTTTTGATATGTAGCTCTTTGTATTTCAGAGCCACTCTCCCCAGCCTTGTGGCAACATTTTTGGTTTACTATGAAGATCAATAGCAAAATGCATAGAATATAAAGCAAAAAAGACAAATCCATTAGACTGTGAAAAACTGAAATACAGCAGAAGGCTTCTTTTATGCCTTTTTTTTTTTTTTTAGAATTCCTTCTGTCATATTTTGCACTTTTTTGCACTGAAATTTCAGTGAGTTTGACTATTTAGGAAAATACTGTTGAGCAGTTGATATGCTCATATATCAATATATAGTTGATATTTACATATATCTGAAATTCTGATATACAGATGTAGATATATTTCCTGAGAATTTGTTTTTAAACTGTTTTAGAGACCAACAGCATAAAGTGAGGATGCATTGATTAATGCAGAGGGTGGGCACAGTCTGTAGGGATTAAGTAAGGACTAGTGCCCTGGTCTATGGTCTCTGGGGACTAACACAGTAGTCTGCAGGCACTGTTCACAAGACTGATTCCTGCATAAATACAGGACTTCTAGAAATTGCTGCTAAGTGAATTTAATCCAGAGACAAATTTAGTCTTCAGAAAGTCTTCTTTTTGGTGGTGTTATATCAAAATGTGAGTTGTTTTTCAAGTGATCTTAACTTTCAAGATTCAGCACAGATTATATTTCTGAAAGGTGATGTTTGTAGTTGCGAAAAGACCAAGACAGCTTTAATTGTCTTGAAGTTCTGAAACTTAATCCCCTAAAATTTACTTTTGATGATAAAAGCAAACAATTGGAATATATTTGAGTTAAAGAAACCTGAGATCTGAATGTCATATTTTGTAATTGCTTGAATAATCAGCAATGTGAATATATACCCATTAAAAAGTCCTTAGACTGGTAATGTGTTTTCCAAAATTGCTTTTGTTGCCCACAGTATATTCTCTCACCTTTTTGGTTCATGAAGTGATTCTGATGTTCATCAAAGATTATATTTATGTCTCCTATTACTGCTGCTTGGTAAGAGACATGTAAACCCAAAATCTAAACAAATAGAAAAGTAGGCAAATTTAGAGCTAATCTGACAGACTATACCTTTCTCTTTTGGAGAACAGTGTAATTCCAAGGAAAAGCAGGGTTTGCCTCCCAGTCTGTTTTTGTTTGTGTCCTGAGATAGGAGCATAACATGAATTGTTGGTGGACTGCTGCTGTTCATTTGAGATTGTCTCATAACTCAGACTGGAAACATTGGAGCTTTCCAATATCTTCAGAAGGCCAGCAAACTTGGTCTGCCAGCAGAGAAGCCACAGCTCTCTCAGGCAGAAAGTTCTGGGGTTTCATTTCACTGGCTCTCCCTTTTCCATTAAGTCAGACCAACTCGAAAGCCTCTCTGAGCCTGCATTGCTTTTAGTTGTAGTCAAGCCTTTTCAGCATAGGTAGATACATAATTACTGCGGTTGGAAGAAGGCAGTAAAGGACCTAAAATAAATGTGTGCAGTGGAAAATAAATCACCAACTTGGAAGGAAATTATTCACTCAAATGCAAACTGAAGACCTAATTGCCCAGCAGTTACACACAACTGCCTGATGTCCCAGGAAGGTGGAGATATTGTCCAAATTGAGATAAGGTGTTACACAGTCCTTTTGGGACAGCTGGCTTCAGCAAGGCTCCCTACTTCCCTGACATTTACTGAAAGTAGAATCGGAGGGCCATGAAAAGAGTAATTTTAAAATAACCATTTGCTATTTTTATATACCTTTTTCTACTCACTCTCAAAATGCAGGTAATTATGAAGTAGACTATATCAACTCCCTCACTTTTTTACAATGTGAATATGTTTCATTTTCTTTCTCAAAATGCACTTCTGTTTCTCAGAGAGAGATGTTGTTGAGCTCATTTTGCAGACATGCAAATCGTGTCCCTAACAAACCTTGACAAGGCTTTCAGATTTGGGCTTTTTTTAATGGGTTTTAGCACATCTGTTCTGTCAGTCTGACTACTGCAAATGCAAATGTCATCTGTTTAAAATCCTTATTACGTTCTCTGCTAAGAAATTGCTGAGTGTATTTGGTACTTATCTGTAATTTTATACCTCAGTCTCTAGACTCCTCTCTACTCTGTCTTTTGTCTGCTCTTGGAGTCTGAACTAATCACTTTACCAAACACGTCTCTTTTTTTCCTTATGTTTTAAATTAATTGAGTGCCTTTAAAAGATATTGAATTAGCACCAAAAACTAGAATGTGGGGTTTTTTTATCACATAGTACAGAGGTGTATTCAAGTTTGTGTCTAGAC